AAAAAAAAAAAAAAAAAAAAAAAAAAACGAGTGGACCAAAATCAAACAGGCGTATTCTGAGAATACGTTTTACATTGTTTTACATTGTAAAACGTATTCTCGTTTTACATTGTAAAACGTATTCTCGGAATACGTTGTTATTTTAAAACGTATTATGAAAATACGTTTTATAAATAAAAGTAATTTTATTTATTATACTTAATTCATTTTCATTTACAATTAAATGTATTGAATAGTTTATATTTAATTGTAAAACGTATTTCCGTAATACGTGTGACAATGAATTAATTGTAAAACGTATTACAAAAATACGTTTTACAAATAAAATTTATTATTTATATTTAATTTTCTTTATTTTTTGCAATATATTAACTTATTTAATGAGGTGATTTTTGGTGTTCTGTCAGGCTTTGATAAGTAAGTCGAGCATTAACGAAAAGTGTTTTCGAGAAAGCACGAGAAGAGGAGAAGTTGTTTGTGGCATCGATTTACTATTTCGAGGTCCCGATCATTTATTTAGAGAAGCTCAAGTTTGAGGGTGCATATTAATAAAATAAATGAAAAAGTCGTTTACGTGGGTCCCGCAAGGACGCGTGTGACTTCGGTTTACCAAGAATCAAGTTGGGACGTGTATAATTCAGGCACGATGTCATGCGGGACATTTATCGAGTGTTTCGGAGTTCCGAGCATTTAATTAGAGAAATTTGAATTCCCGTGGGAGTAGATTGCTATATATATTAGCTTATTAAATGAGGCGACCTTGCGGTGTTCCGTCGGCTTCGATAAGTGAGTCGAGCATTAACGAAAAGTGCTTTCGAGAAAGCACGAGAAGAGAAGAAGTAGTTTGTCGCGTTGATTTACTATTTCGAGGTTCCGATCATTTATTTAGAGAAGGTCGAGTTCGAGGGTGCATATTAATAAAAATAAATGAAAAAGCCGTTTACGTGGGTCCCGCAAGGACGCGTGTGACTTCGGTTTACCAAGAATCGAGTTGGGACGTGTAGATAATTCAGGCACGATGTCATGCGGGACATTTATCGAGTGTTTTGGAGTTCCGAGCATTTAATTAGAGAAATTTGAATTCCCGTGGGAGTAGATTGCTATATATATTAGCTTATTTAATGAGGCGACCTTGCGGTGTTCCGTCGGCTTCGATAAGTGAGTCGAGCATTAACAAAAAGTGCTTTTGAGAAAGCACGAGAAGAGAATAAGTCGTTTGTCGCGTTGATTTACTATTTCGAGGTCCCGATCATTTATTTAGAGAAGCTCGAGTTCGAGTGTGCATATTGATAAAATAAATGAAAAAGCCGTTTACGTGGGTCCAGCAAGGACGTGTGTGACTTCGCTTTACCAAGAATCGAGTTGGGATGTGTAGATAATTCAGGCACGATGTCATGCGGGACATTTATCGAGTGTTTCGGAGTTCCGAGCATTTAATTAGAGAAACTTGAATTCCCGTGGGAGTAGATTGCTATATATATTAGCTTATTTAATGAGGCGACCTTGCGGTGTTCCGTCGGCTTTAATAAGTGAGTCGAGCATTAACGAAAAGTGCTTTCGAGAAAGCACGAGAAGAGAAGAAGCCGTTTGTCGTGTTGATTTACTATTTCGAGGTTCCGATCATTTATTTAGAGAAGCTCGAGTTCGAGGGTGCATATTAATAAAAATAAATGAAAAAGCCGTTTACGTGGGTCCCGCAAGGACGCGTGTGACTTAGGTTTACCAAGAATCGAGTTGGGACGTGTAGATAATTCAGGCACGATGTCATGCGGGACATTTATCGAGTGTTTTGGAGTTCCGAGCATTTAATTAGAGAAATTTGAATTCCCGTGGGAGTGGATTGCTATATATATTAGCTTATTTAATGAGGCGACCTTGCGGTGTTCCGTCGGCTTCGATAAGTGAGTCGAGCATTGACGAAAAGTGCTTTCGAGAAAGCACGAGAAGAGAATAAGCCGTTTGTCGCGTTGATTTACTATTTCGAGGTCCCGAT